TAATAATTACCTTTAAACAATTTAAAAACAGTACGACAAGAAGTACAATTTGTGAATAAATGCTACAAGTCTTTAAATGATTTTCATATTTTTCATGTTAAATTTTAATTTATAATTAATTATTGAATATAATCACTAAAAATATTTAAATAACTAATATATTATTTTCTAGATATTCATACGTGAGGACTCTTTTGAAATTAATAACAAAAAATTTTATACGCATTAAGAGAATAAAAAAACCATTTATTTAATTTTTTATATGGTTATGTTATCAACCATTATTATTATAACAAGTTTTTGGCAATAATGTGATTATATATGAAATAATTAATTTATCAAATTTTAACTCAACTGTAGGAGTTTTTAAATAAATACATTTTTTTTTTTTAAATAACTATGTTATTGTGAAATCTTATTTTTATCATTCGAGTAATTTAAGTAAAAATATTTGTATTATATAAAATTAAAATTTATCACAAATAAATTATAATTTTAATTAACATCATAAAAATTGGAACATTTTAAAAATATTTTAACTAGAAATATCATTGAATTCATGAATTTTTTGTCAATATTACTGATATTTTAGTCATTTATCAGCTCAATAATGTTATAGATATCAATAAAGCATAAGTGAAGAGTTAGTTATGAATTTAAGAAATATGCAAAATCATTGCACATATTAATTTCATGGTAAGTGATTTTTGTTTTAGAAAAAAAATATTGTTAACAATCAACATATTTTTAATTTTGTACTGCGGCCTTTTAAATGTAGATATAGTTCTTGAATATCATATTTATGTAATTCAATACTCCAAATATTTTACATCATAGCTAAAATTATCAATTAACGTAAAATGACATTACTCTTTTCTTTTAGACTTTTCATTATTAATCATTATTAAACTAATTTTTTGTTATGCATTTTTATCCAATTTAATGTTTCTTCATAAAAAGTATTTTTACAAGACGAATAGTTATTATTTTTCTGAATGTTTGAAGGGACTAAGCTTTCCTTAACTCCCCCTTAATTTTACTTATGACTTAAAGAATTATTCATTTTATTGAAAAATTAAACAAATTTTATTTTGCGTTTTTTTAACTAACTAATATAGAAAAAACAAAATAGGCAACATAAACTGACTTAAGTATCTTCGGTTCATAAGTTTGTTAGTACTTTTTTGTGAACAATTTTACACTTACGACTAGGACCCATACTAAAATTAATACCTTCTCAGCTTCACATCGATGCTAAAAATAGCTTCTCGATTACGCATCGTAACTAAAAAATATGTTAAATCATCAAAATATATTAAAATATACAAAAAAAATACTTTTTTTTGTTATTTTAGTAATTATTCATAGATATTTCTTCTTCTAGTGAGCTACATAAAGGTGATAAAAATATGTATAAACCTAAAATTCTGGTCTATAGTCTATAATTTGTAAATAAAAAAATTGACACTAACAAAATTAATTTTATCAAATGTTCTTTTGTGCTGTTTAATATAAAATATAAATCATAAAATCTACATTAAATTAATGTCGTGTAATTCATAGTAACTCAAAGTAATTCTTAGAATTCCAATTTATATTAAAAAAATTCTTCAGATTTCTAATCATGAATTTGATAAAGTAGTTTAATATTATAACAAATATTAATAATAACGAGTATTTCATTGAATAAAAGTGTTTTTTTTAAGTACAAAATATACTTTTCTAAATCGCGCTTATTTCAAATCTGCAATTAAATTTTTTCTATCATCACTAATTTTTGATATCATTAATAATTAGTTAAAAATATGTATTAACATAAAAAATAAAGTAAAAGTTATTACCATGACTTTTAGTTCAACATGTAAGTTTGAAATTGACATCATTAAATAGAAAATTTTATGAGAATAAAAAAAATGATATTTACAGAAAAATTTATCAGAAAAGTCAATTTTTTTTTCATTTTTATTGAATTAGAACATTTAATTAGAAATCATCGTATTCATTTCTAAGTAACTGTTGGTGTTTAAAAAGATTCTACAATTGAAATATTGAGAACTTAATTAAATTTAATAATTTATTTTAACTAAAAGAAACAATCAAAAAGTTGTTAAAAAGATTTATTCAATTGAGTGTATTATAATTTTTAATTTTAATTGTAATAATTAATTGTTAAATAAAGGTGGAAACTAAAAATCAGTTTATTTTAGAAATGATTTATATAACAACATGTTACCAAAAAAGTGGACTATTATAGACTTGTATTAGCACATACAAATAGAATTAAAAATTAATAAATTACAAAGTAAAATTGTTTAATTTTGTAGTTCAAACTTATTATCATATCAAACCTAATTCGACAATAAATACTTAAAAAATTAGAAACGAATGATTTTAATTGTCTATATGGAGAAAGCTGGTTAAGCAACATTTTATTTAATAAAGGAATTTTTTCAATTTTTAAGGGTAAATATCTTCAACTGGAAACTATTTGTGATCATTTAATGTATCATTTAAAAAATTGGTCAAGTGATAGCTGAGAAAATAAATGACAACCACAAAAAAAAAATATATTGTAAAATAATTTTAATATGAGTAAGATATTTCTTCTCACGTGGGGAAACTACAGTGATGGGATCCTTTATGTTTATTAAAATTATTGAATCTAAATGAGATAAAATTCAATTGAGTTGATCATTTCTTTCTAACTCAAAAATAATTAAGGAAAAAATGCAAAAAATTAATTGCCACAGGCGGATTCGAACCTCGTACTCTAGAGTGAAAGACACAAGTGTTACCGATCGTCGATTTCGTCGGTTGATAAAAATGACAATTAAAGCTTATTCAAATTTTAAAGTTAATTTTTTCGACTTAAAAAAAGCAAAAAAATTTAAGTATGTAACGTTAAAAATTCGTAGTGGACTGTTTATAATTTTTTGTTATGTCTGCTTATTTATATTATTGTGCAAGAGAATGCGCGAATGAACCTTTTTCTGACACAGCGGCGTCAATAACTCATTATTTTGGTCGCTGACTGCTAGATTAGGCGAAAAAAGAGAATACATTTAATTAAAATCGAATTGTGTATCGGCATTGATCCCTTCCAAAAAGACTGGCCCTTATCGATTTGAATTTGCCGTTAGATCGGTATTGGCTCTTCATCTTCTTCTGTCATCGACCTTGCTAGTGGGCACATGTTTGTTGTTTTCTTGTACCAATTTTTTCAATGATTGAGTAGAGCCGCTAACGGCAAACGGTCAGGTCTTTTCGGCAAAGCATCCAGACCATCAGATGCGTTTTTTCGGAGACCGGGTATCGTTTTCTTTTTTTATAATTATATTTATGTAATGAGTTGTATTTTATCAATTATTTTTATTTTATTATAAATTAGCTTAATTTTATTTATGTGGGGAGAACACGTGTCCTATTTCTTTTAGTCAACGCTAAGGAACGAGTGTCCAGATCATTTCTGGTGTTTTTCATTAATTTCCGATTAACATTAACGGATGTGTTTTAATACAGTTCGTGATATTTGTTATATTATTTGATATTGTTTAAATATTTTATTTTATTTTTGTTGCATTTCTTTGCAGATGCGGATTTGATACACTCGTATTTTTGTCCATGTTTAACTTAATTTTCTTTTTTAATAATTAAATCAAATTTCCTTATTAATTTTATTGCGTAACTAACTTAAGTGTATTTTATCCCTGTTCTTTAATCTAGACATGGGTACGGTATGTTTTACATGTCAACCTTTTACAACTTCAATTACCATAGTTGTGGCTAATTAACCACGAGGTATTATAGTACTTTATACATATAACGACATATTAACTTATATAATAATTTATATATATATATAACACGATATATTAACTTAAATTAAACTATTAATTAAACTAAAATTAAATTCCACCTATTGTCCGTTAATCATATATGATATGTGTGACACCTCGCCTAGGTGGCGACCCTTACTACTATAGCCAGTCGGTATGCAAGTGGCAAACCACGTTGTTGTTGCAGGCCGACAAAATGCCCACTTGCAAAATAAAGTTTAACTTTATATTCTATGTCAATTAATATTCCTAAAAATCAGTGTATTCCCTTGTAAAGTATTTTAAAATAAAATAAAATACAAAATCTAGAATTTTAACACAAAAATATTTTTGAACACGGTTACTATTTTTACTAGGAAGAAAATCTATATTTTGAATTTTTTTTTTCATAGTAAAGTATACTATATAAGCTTTAATTTAAGATATATATAAGTGTCAATATTTCCGGAACATTTTCAAAAATGAAGTTGAAAAAGTTTAACTTGTGTGCAAAAAAAATTTTTATCTTCCCCTGTGGGCAGATTTTCAAAAAATTTATATCATATGAAAGGAAAATATCTAAGGTTTCAATACAAAAAACCCAGTAAAGTCAAAATAAAGTCTGAAATTTTTTTTTCATAATTAGGTACGTTACATTGGTTTCAATTTAACATATATATATATATATATATATATATATATATATACATATATATAAACGAAATTAAAAAAGAAAGAAGAATGATATAAATATTAATTCTCATAAAAAAATTGTATTGATGTAAAATGTAAAAAATAAAATTGAGTTTTTCACAAAAATAGCATTTGGTAGCCATGAAAACAAAACATAGTCCGAAATTTTTTTTTCCATAATATAGTATATTATATTAGCTTTAATTTAAGATATATATAAAAGTGTCAGACTTTCCGGAACACTTTCAAAATTTAAGTTGAAAAAGTCAATTTTTTGTGAAAAAGTTGTCATTTTGAATCCCCCCATCTGTGGGCAGGTAAAGGGTCATATTTATAAGAAAAATATACCCAATGAAAGGCTAGGACATCATAGTAAAACCAATACCTTCTCAGCTTCGCATCAAAGCTAAAAAATACCATTTCAGTATTTATAATTTATTCAAGTAAAATTAACACATTTATATTATAATTATGGTTGATTTATTTATAACTTAATAATGTTACAATACTATTAACATAGCGTCTTACATTTTTTACTATATTTAATAAAATAATTCACATGTTTTACAAAACTAAATAGATTATAATGTTGCAAAGATGTTTGACATTCGTATTAGGTTTTTCTTAAGGCTTTAATATGACTTTTAGGATTATATACAGTTTATTTTCTTGTAAAAATATAGTGGCTCGATTGATATTAGAATAAATCAAAAAAAAAAAATTATACTTCTTTTACAAATGTAATAATCAGCGTTTAATGAATTATTTTAATTATATAAGGATGTCAAAGTTATTTCAATGTCTTACCATAATTCATTTGTTCAAAACCATTTATGTTTAAATTAGCAATGCAATTATGGAATGCAAATTGTGCTTGTGGTAAATTTTTGGATGACAAATAATTAATAACTTTATTAAGTTTAATACCTGCTGATGTTGGTAATATTAGTCCCTAAAAAAATAACATATTCAATCTTCAGAGTGTTATAGTAATTTGGAATTGCTAAACGAATAAAAACGTGCTGTTTTCAACAATTGTTATTACTTGATATATATTTTAAAATTATATTTCATAAAACAAAAAAGGTGTATAATAATATATTTTATTATTTAATTTTTACTTACAGAAAACATGGAATCATCTAAAACCAAATACGTGTAAAAAGCAGCACAACAATACTCTGCAAAAGGGATTTCGTCAGATTCAAAAAACTCCATCTAAAGGAATTTTACCAGAAATAATTTTAATTATATCTCCGACTATACATTTTCGTACTTCGTTTTGGTCGTCTTCGTTTAAATCTCCTTCGTGCACATCTAAAGCATTGCAAAACTATTAACCCATTTATTTTTATTGTATAATAACAGTGTATAAGGTCAATTACTCATTTCTGACGTATCATGTCCATCAAGAGAATACATTTTTATGCAAGCTCACAGAATTTTATATGCTCGATAAAAACGCAAATTTAATCGTTTTTTATATGTTTTCAAATCGCCCGTTATCTTAAAATAAAGATGTTTTTATAATTAAAAAGACATATTAAAAAAACTTGTATTATGTAAATATTTATATCATAGTTTAATTAACGTTTAGTTATAAGACGAGGAAGCCTGTTAATATTCAAATTCTATGCGGGGGGAGCAAGATTGTACAGTTGCTAACTAGATGTATATCACATGGACGAAATTCGAGATGGGCTTGCTGCTCGCTCATAAGTCGGCGCCTGCGATACCAAACCGGCAAGTCACCGCGAGCAAAGTTGGACCGGAGGGTGGTGTCGTATATGTCCAATTGCTTGGCATACACGTATATCGCTTTATATTGTAATTGATAATTATCGGTAAAAATATTACAATCTGTACTTTATATTAATACTAATTAAATAAAATTAGTTGTCATAATAATCACACTGTTCAATACTATAATTTAACCATTGTTAACAATACTATCAAATTGTATTAATTATGTAACATTTAATCTGTAAAATAAATTGACATTCGCTAAAAACGCTGACAACAATATCCCTGGATTGGGGGGGGGGGTACCGTATTACACTATATAGAGCACAAAAATCCTTTCAGAGCGGCATTCGATTTTATCGTATTGATGCGACTTACGTCGCAAAAATGTAGTCGACGCTGGTTTTGAGGGTAGAGACCCGTGGGCCGTTTATTAATGAGCAACAACGGGTTAACTTTAAAGAAAGACAAATAAACCGAAAAGACGAATACAGTAATAATAATCTTCGCTTAATATCGCGGCACTTACGACTCGGTGTCCGACATGGCCCTCGGGCGTCAAAACGTTAGCAGCGTTGATGGCGACGGTGCGCGGGTGCGGATCGGTTTGTCTTGTCCGGAGCCGCGGCGAACATCCTCGACGTTGTCACGCTGACAACGGGAAGAAGACTCTCGTATCATTTGCGGCGGGTCGTCGTCGGCCGTGCAGCACTTGCTGAACTTTGCACCGTGGCGTATGGCACGCGGTGTTGGTCAGTCAAATACTCATAGTAGGGCGACGGCTGATAAAGGTGGCACGAGTCGCGGGGCATCGCGTATAACGAAGCGACGCTGGGCCGTGTCAGTATATACTAAATGAACAATTGTCAGCCACAAATCTGTGTCGTTGTCGGCTACCTTTTTTACGCGTGTGATTTATATACGAAAAGAATTTGTTTTAATTATTTATCTTGTGACGAAATGCAAATCCAATATCTCTAACTATATAAACATATTGAAATATTTATCTCACAGCAATTTGCAAAACAGAAAAAGAAGCAAGTAAATTTATGTTATCCCAATTATTTGGAGTTCAGAAGTTTGAGTAAAGGATGACAAAGCAATAAATCATTTATTAAATCAATATCTTTAAGTGTTAATTTTGACTGGTTGGTTAAAATATTATACATTAGAACGTTATATGGTATTCGTGAACTGGCTCCGCCGTCTCGTTGCCTCTTAGTTAGGACATTAGAAAGACAAAAGTTTATTACACCTCGATTTCTAATGTACTGCGTTTATTATTTTTATATCTACTTGTCTTTGTCGTTCTAAACCCTCGAACCATATGACTCCCATAGAACCACAACCTGATGTTCTCACCGTATAAAAGCCGAACTTCTAACTTAATCATTTTTTGTTATTTGAATTATAACAGTGGAAAATAGTATTAAGAATACATTTAAATTCTTGTCAATTCGCATTTCTAAAATGTAAATTATTTTTTATTGAATTGTTAGAATAATCTAATAAGCATTGAGATATTATTAATATCAGCATTTCGTTATTTTGTACCTCGGGATATTCTACTGCAAACAAACTTGAGTGGAAAATTATACAACAATCTTCAAACTTTTCTGTAATAATAGATTTATCGAATTTTAAAAATTCAATTATTTTTTGACTCATTTCTTTTGGCTGAATTTCACGAGAAATTATATCATCTCCCAGTCTACTTAAAAATTGATTGAATTCTTCTGTAAAATACAAATTAATAACGATAAATTAATTATACATCTGAATAACTCATTCAAAAATTAATACTATTTAAAATAAATAGTTGCAACGTTAAAATACAAATAATTATATAAAATCAAAAGTGTTGCTAATTAGATAGACTTTTTTCTCATTCATTTTTATTTTGGTTAAGATTTTATTTTGTATTTGTATTAGGATTTTCTTAAGGTTTTAAAATGATTTTTAGGATTATTAATAATTTTTTTTTTGTAAAAATGTAGTAGCTCAATTGATATTATAGTAAATTAAAAAAAAATTATACTTCTTTTACAAATGTAATGATCAGCATTTAATGAATTATTTTAATTATATAAGGATGTCAAAGTTATTTCAACGTCTTACCATAATTCATTTGTTCAAAACCATTTATGCTTAAATTAGCAATGCAATTATGGAGTGCATTTTGTGCATGTGATAAATTTTTGGATGACAAATAATTGATAACTTGATCAATTTTAATATCTGCTGATGTTGACAATATTAGTCCCTAAAAAAAAATTAGTTTTCGCTACTGGTTTTAAAATTTATTTTACACAGAACTTCTATTAAGTTCCTCGGTAATTAATTGGATTTCCAATAATAGTATATCGAGAGAAAGTTAATCATCTATATTATTATAATACGTTAGATACACAGAGCCCTACGATCTGTGTCGCATTAGTCAGCGATTGCTCTACTACGTGTACATGGTAATTGGACTGACTAACACAGTCTGCCACACGTTACAGTACAAAGTCCAGCAAGTGTCGCTCGCCCCACGACGTCCCTTTGCAAATATTGGTCGAGTCTGCTTCAAGTCGTCGATGATTTACGCCACTGGCTCTGGACGTGTTGCGCAACCTGACAAGATGAACCGATACCGCACCGTCGCCATCAACGCTGTTACTATTGACGTCTGAGGACCATGTCGGACACCACATTTCTGACAACAGCGAAAGTGCCACGATTATATGCGAACATTATTATTAATTGGGTTTGACATTTAGATTTCTTTTTTTTAATAATCTTTTGGTGTTCTTCAGTAATAAACGACCCATGCCTCTGTACCATCTATATCAGTGTCGACTACATTATTGTGACGTAAGTCGTGTCAATTATAATTTCGAATTTATCCATGTTGTTGTAACTCAAAAAAAAGAGAATGAAGGAATTTAAATAAAATAATTAGATTAAAGGAACAATAATATTATATAATATATAATATTATGTATGAATGCGTTGCTTGAGCAGATTTTGAAACAATTGAGACTCTTTTGGTCTTAAACTTAATTCCTTATAATTATTTTTTTTTTGAGTTACTTTTTATATCGGGGTCAGTGCTCCGAGGGTTTTCTTTTTTTTATTAATGTAATTTCAAAGAAAAAGGAATATTACTATTCATATATATATTAATTTTACTAAAAATCCAGAGCAATCGCCAACCGTAAAATAACAGCTCAAACGAAATCTGCTCTATATGGATTCTACTCTATCATAAGTACTTAGCTTAATTTTTTTGCCTTGAATCGAGAGCAATCGCCAACCGTAAAATAACAGCTCAAACGAAATCTGCTCTATATAGATTCAGTTTTACCAAAAGTACTTATTTACTTTATTATTTATATTAAAATTTTATATTCAGCATTTTTGCTTACCTTTGAATAAATATTCTTTCCTTTTTTCTTATTTTTTTTATGTATCTTTTCACACTGATGATGTTGATGAACTAACTGACATTCAGAGATTCTAAATGCAAGTGAGTTGTTTATGCCTCGTTAACCCGTCTTTTATACTTTTGTTTTAATTCAATTAGGGATCAACATCATTAGTGTTTCCAGATATTTTTATTGACATATAATTTAATTATGATCAAAGTTTACAATATTTTCTTTAAATACACAAATAATATAAGTAATAATATGATAACATAATTTTTGTCACGTTAATACTATTATTACAACATCTACCCTAATTTTTTTAAGTGTTGTGCCCTCACAACTATCGTTTAACATAGGCAAAAAATTGATTAAATATAATAAGAATAATTGTATACTGAAAGTTGATTAATAAATTTAGTATTTATGTTATATAATGATTAAAAATTAGTAATGTGAATATTAAATATTAGTAGATAATATTATAGTTAAAAGTTAATAGTATGAGCCAATGCATTTAAAATTTAAAAAATTATAGAATACATAAAAAAATAACAGTATGATAGTATATAAGTATATATGGTGCCAAATATAATATTAAAAGATAAGACAATATAAAATTTTTGTTTACATTTTTTTTAAATGTATGTAAAAATAATGTGATAGGACTAATTCAAAACATTGTGAAAAAAAAAGTGTAATGTTGTCTGAAAAATCATTGTCCTGTTCTCTCCATACGTAGTAATAGTCATAAAAAATAATAAGTTCAGACGTTTTTTGTTCTTCTAGAATTTTTGCTCTTGTAATTATAAGGTATTGCTCTTTGGTTCTGTACATGATAANTTTGTAATTATAAGGTATTGTTCTGTACATGATAATTATAGAAGTGCTATTCAAATTGGAAATCTATGATTTTTCTTTATTTTTGGACTTCAAATTTTTAGTTGGTGTAGTTGTATGTTTCTTTTGAAATCATAAATGTCAAAATCAAAAAAAATTTTTTGCAAACACTAATAGATTTCTTTTTTTTTGTTTTTCTTCGTAAGTACTGATATTATATGAGCACTTGGTTCCTTAGTTTTTACTGATAATTTGAATTCCGAAGTCTTAATCTGGTGAAGCTGATTCATCATTGCCAAACTAATTATTTTAATTACCATTACTAGTATGAATTGCATTTTCTTAATTCGTATCGATCTTTTGTATTTTTTAATGATTTGAAATTATTGAAACTTGCTTTACAATTGTTATGTTGTTTTTAAAAAAAATTATTTGTTGTATTAACCAATTATAAAATTACAATTACTGATTGTATAAGTAATACAATGTTAAACCTTTTTTAAGTGATGATAATAATTATATTAAATATTAACCACCAGGGTCAAAAATAAAAATGACATGCTTAATGCAATTCATTTTCATGATGTATTTAACAAAAGAATGTTTGTAGTTTTCAAAAGACCAATAATGTTTATTTAAAGAATTATGAAATATACTTTTAGAATATTAAATGTTTCTTCTATAATTAAGAAAAAATTTTGGAATATTTTTTATATAAGAATTTAAGTTATAATTATAAAGTATAGATTTACCTAATAAAAATGAAAGCGTTTTATTATATATATTTTGAAAACTTATAGTTTTAAATTCTCGAATTATTTTAACAGTATTATGAATGTTATAAAAATAAGTTGAATCTAATTTAAAACGATTTGATGGTTTCACATATTCCTGTAAAAACTTGTAATTGAAATAGATAAGGTTAAAATTTTGAAAATTTTCTATTGCCTTTGATAGATTTATTTTACTTTTAATTGACATCTGATTTTTTTCAATTTTTTTATTTGAATTTTTATCTGAAACAACTAAAGAATTTGAAAAAAGTTTTTTGATTTTAATTAATGCTGGTGTTATAAAATTAAATCTATTTGATGTTGTATATTCATCTATTTGTTTGTTTAACTCTACTTTCTGTGTTATACTTATAGATTTATTTAAATTTGGAAAAATAAAATTCTCAATTACATTTTCTTCATCTGCTGTTTTAATTTCAACAATATGATTAAACTGTAAATTATTATATGGTGTTATTATTTTAGAGACTTTTTTGTGTTCAGAACTAATTAAATAAAATAACATATTAGTTGTGGTGCCTTTCATATCTACAATGGTTGGCTTATTTTCATGTGTATGTGTAAAAGTGTTTAAAATTGTGTTATTAAGATTTTCATTATCTTTTGTTTTTATTGACAAATTGTTTTCATTAATGTTTAAATTATTAATGTCAATATTATTGGCAATTTTATTGAACTCTTTTTTGTTTATGTGTTTAAAAATAGATTTTTTTAAGTTGTCTATTGATTTAAATTCTGTAAAAGTTATAGTTTTTATTGGAATATCTTTGGATTTTTTATCTGTTAATGTACCTGGAATCCAATGTGTATTATTTTCTACATTATATAAAACTATTGGAGGACGATTACCCAAACCATAAATGATTCCAGTTTTATTTGTACAGTCAAAAATGTAAGTATCGTGATTGTAATGATTTGCAATAGCTGCTAATTCATCATCACTAAACCAATAATTAGGCAACTCAGAAAGATTTAAAATTTCTAAAATTTCCATTATTGAAGTTATTTTTTTATCTTTATTATCATTTAATGCATTACAAATTGCGTAGATTCCACAATTATTTGGACTATATATATTTTCCCCTTTTTTATATTTTTCATAAATTTTTAAGTTATTATCAATAGTCTTTTCATTAATTGTATTTTGATTAGATAAATGTTTTGAATAAAAATCTTTTGTTATATTAATTAATGATTTATGTTCCTGAGTTTTCCAATTATTAGTAATGTGTTTTTCATTTTTATGACATATTATAATATTAATATTTGTATTCAAAAATGTTGAAAAGATAATTTGTTTTATTATGGTCCACTCTTTTTTGTCAAAACCTGATTCTATTTTAGGCATTGCAACATCAGTATCATTGTGTTTATTCATTTGAATTCTTAAATTGTTTAATGCTTTTTAAATATTTATATATTTTGGTTTTTCAAAGTAATAGTTTTTTGTTATTAAATAATAAATTACTCTACCATTTAAACAAATTGGAATAGCATCTCCTATTTTGGGTTTAAGTTTACATAATGTAGGAGCCATATTACCATATCTATTGCAAATATCTAAAGCTATACCCTTATTCATTTTTAGATCGGTAGAAATGCAATGTGCAAATGAATAATAATCATCAACAGTAAATAAATCTATTACTTTTTCAATAAAGTGTAAATTTATGTTATTGATATTAAATTCTTTATTATGATAAACAGGCATTAATTGATTTTTATTTATAATTAAAAAGTTTTTATCAAAATTAATGATCCCATTGTTTTTATCTAAAAAATCATTACCAATAATTATTGAACAATTTAAATTTAAGACAACAAAAACATTAATAGCAAAATTAACGTGATTTATTAATATATTAATTGTTGTTGTTCCCAAGATTGTTAACGGTGTGTTATCTGGACCACCTATTTTAATGTTATTTTTATGGATAATTTGATCTTTGGGTAGTAACTTATTTGTTATACAACTAATGTTTGATCCTGTGTCAATATTTATTGGGATTTTTGTGTTATTGAAATAAGCATAAAAATGTAAAGCATGATTAGTATCATCAATTATATTATTAATATGTAGTATATTTTGATTTTTTGCTGAATTTATAGGTGAACAAATATTTTCAGCCTTTTTGTTTAACCTCAATTCAAGTTTTTTGAATATTTCTTACAATAGGGAGCTGTATGTCCTATAGAATTGCATAACTGACATATGACTTTATTGTTTTTAAAGAAACAATCTTTTGAAGTATGATTTGTTTTAGTACATATGTTACATTTCATGACATTATTATTATAACCTTTTTCATTATAATTAGGTTGAAAATTTTTGCGATAGTTAATGTCCTGTCTATTTTGGCTAAAATTATTTTTTTGTTGAGAATTTATTTGATAACGATTTAAATTTGATGAATCATTATAAAAATTATGTTTGTTTAAATTAACATTGTCTCTATTAAAACTAGAATTATTTTGAAATCGATTGTTATTTGATGGATTATTTCATACTTATGAATATTTCTTTTTAATTCAGTTAAGTTACAATTATCAAGAATACTAACATATCTAGCAATACTTGGTTTTAAATCTTTAATAACGTTTCTCACTAACTCTTCTTCTGACATATTGCAGTCAATTCTCTTACATAGAGCCTCCATATCATTAATATATGCAACTGTCTGTTCATCATCTAATTGCTTTCTTTTCTCTAATAAAATACGTAACATATAATTTTGAGCAATTGGTTGAAATTCTTCTCTAAATTTTTTTTCTAATTCATGCCATGGTAAATTTTTTGATTCAATATTATCATAAAAGGTTAAAGCAGAACCTTGTAAAAAAGCTACTAAATATTGAGGTTTATCACTATCTGACCAATTATTAATAGCGGCTGCTCTATTAAATTTTTTTAAAAATGAATCTACTCTTTCATTTATCCCACCTGAAAAAATACTCGGTTTAAAAAATAGTTTTTTGCTCTCCATGCTAAAGTTATTAATTGTATTATTTAAAGGTTTGTTTGTATTTTTATATTGAGATATATAAAACCACAATAATCTTATTTTTAGGTCTTATACTACACCAGTAGTGATTAAATTTTTCTCTTCGAGTTCTTTTATTAATTCATGCTTTTTTAGATTATTAATCCAATCTAAAGTTTTCTTATGTTCCTCTGGTACATTTTATATGGAAATATTTTCTGTTTCCTCTGACATTTATATTTCAAATAATATGTTTAAATATATACTATAATTTTATAGATTTTACTATATCTTTTACGTTTTTCAATATTTTAAATAATAAATTTTTATAAAAAGAAAATCTTTTACTTTATGGTTTTTATGTTTTACCTCTACAACTCAAATATTTATTAATTTTTTGATTTAAATAGGTCTATAGAAATATCTACTTTTTTAATTTCAAATGGTTTTCTTACAAATTTTATTTTTATTATTTTTACTTTTTTAATTTTATATTCTTCATCAAAAAATTTTACTTCGAAACTTATTCTTTTTATTTTCATACNATTTAAATAAAATAATTAGATTAAAGGAACAATAATATTATATAATATATAATATTATGTATGAATGCGTTGCTTGAGCAGATTTTGAAACAATTGAGACTCTTTTGGTCTTAAACTTAATTCCTTATAATTATTTTTTTTTTGAGTTACTTTTTATATTGGGGTCAGTGCTCCGAGGGTTTTCTTTTTTTTATTAATGTAATTTCAAAGAAAAAGGAATATTACTATTCATATATATATTAATTTTACTAAAAATCCAGAGCAATCGCCAACCGTAAAATAACAGCTCAAACGAAATCTGCTCTATATGGATTCTACTCTATCATAAGTACTTAGCTTAATTTTTTTGCCTTGAATCGAGAGCAATCGCCAACCGTAAAATAACAGCTCAAACGAAATCTGCTCTATATAGATTCAGTTTTACCAAAAGTACTTATTTACTTTATTATTTATATTAAAATTTTATATTCAGCATTTTTGCTTACCTTTGAATAAATATTCTTTCCTTTTTTCTTATTTTTTTTATGTATCTTTTCACACTGATGATGTTGATGAACTAACTGACATTCAGAGATTCTAAATGCAAGTGAGTTGTTTATGCCTCGTTAACCCGTCTTTTATACTTTTGTTTTAATTCAATTAGGGATCAACATCATTAGTGTTTCCAGATATTTTTATTGACATATAATTTAATTATGATCAAAGTTTACAATATTTTCTTTAAATACACAAATAATATAAGTAATAATATGATAACATAATTTTTGTCACGTTAATACTATTATTACAACAATGTACTCTTCAGATAGTAATAGACATTTAAAATTGCTAAACAAATAAAAAAACTGCCGTTTTGAACGATTGTAATTTTGATAATTTTCGTAAATATAAATTTTTATATTGTTATAAATCATGTTAAATTTGTTCTACCATTAAAAAAAAAATGGTGTATAAAAATATGGTATAATTATGGTAATTTATGAGATTATTTTAACTTACAAAAGACAGAATTATTTGAAATCTCAAATACATAATTTTTGGCAAATTAATTGACCTAGAAAAAAATAATAATAACGGTTACCTGGGAATCGACCGCTTTGACAAGGTTAGACGTAAATATACTATTTTTATCTACCAACAAACTGTAACAATCGGCCGGAAATTAACTTTCTGTCGATATCAATAAGGTCTTTATAATAAACTGTAACCAACACTTTTCAACGACAATAGTTACAGCGGACTGTATTAGATAAACTACTCTAACTTTATTTTTATAAAAAATTTTCCAGAGACCAAGTCAAATCTAATCCCGCTAACACGTAACTGTGAATAACNTCGGCTAACACGTAACTGTTATTAACCCAGGTAAAAATTCACTGCTGTCATCAGTGAAATTCGTTCAAATAACTATATGAACAGTAAAAATTTGTAAGGGAGACTTCACCGTTCCAAGTTAAAACTAAAATCTAATATACAGTAGAACCTCATTAATCCAGACTTCGCTTAATCCGGACAGCTATCTAGTATTACGAAAAATACGCAGTTTATGCCGTAGACTAAAATAAACATAAAACAAGTTCCTCGAATTTTCCATAAGTACATATATTCTTATCTACCGTCATTAAAGTTATCATAAACTAATATCATGTTGCAATACATATATATTGTATATCATACATAGTAATTAGTATAATATAATATTCTTAAATCTATAATACGAACATGTTTTTTGGTTATTTTGTTTAATCCGGACTTTCATTAAATCAGACAACCTAGAGCCCTTATTGGTTCGGNTTTTCATTAAATTAGACAACCTAGATCCCTTATTGGTTCGGATTAATGAGGTTCTACTGTAATTAGAAATTAAACTGAATCGGCTCAAAGCCTCTTACCTTAACTTATCTCGGCCGGTTTAGATTTCGTACTAGGCCTAGTTTTCTTTACTGATACATTAATTTCAGGATTTGATTCTGAATCACGTGTCAACTTTCTTTTTCTCACAACTGCTTCATTATTTTGAATACTACCAAACAATAAATCCTATAAGTTATACATGTATTAAATCTATGATTATTGAAATAATAAATTGTTTTATAATAATTACAGTCTTGCGAGGAGTATCTGAAGAATATTTTGTAGTTTTTCTTTTAACAATAATTGATGACTGGCTAATAATATGTCCTTCTGTTAATGTACTGAATCCAAGTAGAAGTGAATCTGAAGACTAGAAATAAAATAAAATTAGGAAAAAAACTGTTAACCTTTTTAAAAGGTAAAATAATTACCGATCCTGTTGGGGATACAGCAATGTCCAAGAATTCATCATCTGAAACATCTGTATATGATGTATTGCTCTCAGATAATGTTGACACTGATCTAGAATCATCTGAATAAGCAGTAAGAGAACCACTGTCCTGTGAATTAGGATCATGATCTCCAAGTGGATATGGTCGTCTTACACGGCGTTTGTATTTTGCAAACTAAAAACCATAAATTACAATATTTATTTTCATTAATATTGAATTTCTAGAAAATTATTAAATTTAATAGTAAATTTGATATCTAACATTGATCGTTCTTTTTAACTATAGCTATTTAACAATACATAATTAACAGTTTAGAGATGAATAAAAAATTTAATTAAATTTACTGTAATAAATAAACAGACTAAGGTTAATGATTTAATTTATGCTGGGATTAATTAATGTTAATATATTATTAATACAAACTTCACAGTTTAAGAATGCACAACAGTATGGAATCTTGCTTGACATAATTATTGTACAAATAATATACAATGTATAACTAATACAAATTTGTATAATTATATTATTTAAAATATCTTTTTAAGTTTTGTGTTTACATAAAATAATATATTTTTAAGGATTTAAAAAATTATTTTATGATTTAGTTTAAATAAATATTTGTTTATTTAAGGTATTAATAATAAAAATATCTATACAATTTAATTGTTATTGATATATTAGCCAAGGTTAAATTAAAATAGTTACATGCGTTTATTGTATATCTTACTTTAGACATCACTACAACCATACATTTTGATGAATTTTCTTTTTCGATTAGACTGTTCATAATTTTTATAACACATTTCAATGGGCTATCGTTTATAGTTTTTGAGTTTCCCTTGATTAATCTATAAATAAAAAATAATTTGTCTCTCTCTAACTCCCTCTACATCCTATTTTCGTAAACCCCTCAAAATATGAGTCACCTGGAAGAATTTTCCGTTTTCTGCGCTTTAAATTTCGCGTTCTTCGACTGCAGTCTCGAAACTGGTACTGTTCAACAAAAATTATTGTTTCACATCTTTTGCGACCTCGATGAGGATTTTTCGGCACCCTAATTTTTTTTTAATTTTTAATATTGTAAATATTCATTAAGTAATATATTGAAATAGAATATAAACACATATAATGATCAGTATTAAATTTTAATTTGAAAACAACAATAATTTATAAATAATTAACCCAACCCGTATTACTATAGTATTAAAGTTAGTACGATTTAGTTAGTTAATTAGTAAGTGAGTAGATCTATAAAGTATGAGCTGGATACCCCCCAAAACGGCCCCGGCCGTTTCCTCTCCCTAGGTGGACGGCCGAGGAGATATGGTTTAAGGCATAGTCCCCCCACCCACATGATTTGGGTTTACCCTGTCCTAGGTGGACGGGCGGTGTAAACGGTCGGGGGGATATGATGAACGGCAAAGTCCCCTCACCCACCACATGATGTAGGTTTACCCTGCCATAGGTGGACGGGCGGTNGAGTGGAGGACTCTCTCATGACAATAGATATCACAAGTATGGGGGGTACATAAGAAGGGGTGGTATGAAAGAATGAATAATTTTTAGAAATAACTTAATAAATTGTAATTAATAAGTAATTATAAGTTAAAAATGTTTAAGTGGTGAAGGAATGGGTTAGTTTACGGGGATATGTGATCTGTGATTTGCTGACCCCCCTATGAAAAGATGTGTTTTTTCTGCATAAATGAGCGTGAAATCGTTGATAAAGTCACAGTGTCATCAATAACCATCAGCTCTAAGAAGAAGACTCAATTCTATGAATAATATGGCTGCCGAACCTGTAAGAAAATAGCGCTACATTTATATCGCACCAACACCGCCAGCCGAGATGATTGACTCTAGCAGTTACACTATTGCGTTCAGCGACAGAAAATTTTTGCAAGTGGGCCTGAATTCAAATGATGACTTCAACGTTACGGTATGCATTATTACTCCTTCACGATATATTAGTATGTCAGCGGACTATTTAAATATTATTTACGGCATGATGGATGAAATATCATTATTTCTACAATCACCTCCGGTAAAAGGAGAGAACATTATGTTATACCAAAATGTCGATTTTAATATAACCAAAGTATTGTATCGTGATTCAGTACATTTAGTATTAGAATCCGCGACGACCGAAGGATGCCGTGTTTTATTAAATAAAGAAAACATTCAGATACTTAAACAAATGGAGTGTACTATTAACAGTGCAATATCAAGAAAATTAAAAACACGTTTACTATTAAGCCGTCAAATAGACCGCATTATACAATACGTCGACAGTAAATGGTTTGGCCCTAAAATTCAACAATCAAACAATGATGAAATGGTTAATTTTATAAGAAGTTTGAACGACATTGAAATATGCGATACTATTCCTAAAGGCGACAGTAATTACATAAGTGAGCTGAAAAATTTAGCATACAATGTAATATTTGTTCGTTGGATCAAGTCATGGTCCGAGGGCACGCTTCAAATTAATGTGAGTTTAATTAATATAGATTGTCATAACCTTTATTGTTATTAAATTTATAATTTGTTTTAGGAAAAAGCAGAAATGTATGACGAAAATGACGGTCCTGCATTTTTCGATACAACAGTGTTTACCCGAGAAAATAGTTATAGTCCATGGGCTTCACAATGGCTGAAACCCAATCACGTCAGAAAATTAACTTATATTAATGATTTATAAACAATAATTTTATATATTGTACTAGTTTCAAATAATAAACTTATAATCTAAAATGAAAAACAAATTGTTGTTATTTGTATATAATATATTTATTTCATAATAATAATAATAATTACAAGGTTAATAATAAATGTTTACATAAACGTGTAAAAAATGTTAAAATATACGGACAGTTCCGTCAAAAGGTGTATATGTAAATACATTGTCTGAAATTACTAGAGCATATGCAGTTGTATTACCAGGGAACGCGGCTGATGCTTCAATTTCAATACGTAGGTCAAAAGACGAGACTGTAATTGTATCGTTCTGCTTTGACATGTCGATTACGGCAATAGGTATTAAATTAAGAAATTGTTTTTTATTTACTAAAGGCGAACACCAAGGTCTATCATAATAACTCTTTTGAAAATTAACATAGTAGGAAAATAAAATACTAAATAGCTTACAGTCAAAATTACATCTTAAATCGATGTACGGGTAAACTTCTGAATTTAAATGGACTTTAAGATTTGTTAAATTACAGTGATCGAATTCAGACATTGATTTACTTTCACTATTTTTACGGTCTGTTTGAAACCCTACTATAACATAACGGGGCTTTTGAAAATTATTACATGTTTTAACGGTCCACGAAAACGATTTGTTTTGTGGTACAAACGGATATTCACACAGTTCCCAATTTCTATGGGCGCATTGTATAGGCTTTTTACTATCTAAAACTCTAAGTAATTTTAATTGTTCCTTTTCGGTCACTTTGACGATTGGCATATTCCATACAACTTTTGTTAGTTTAATTGATACTGTAGACAGTTTTTCTTTTGCTGCGGTACTCGTATCTAATAGCTTGACAACCTCATTATCATCAGAAGTTCCCGTGCTGCATTTAAGTTTTTCAGAGGACTCTTTCACATTGAACAATTTGATTACGTTAATGTCTGATGAACTCCTCGTATATATTAATGATTGGGTACAGTTTAAGAGTATTTTTTTATAATCTTCGGCAAACCCTAGTATATGCGATAGCGGTATAATCCCAGAAAAATATGTACAGTCGAAAAAGTCTTTATTGTCTTCAGTAGTAATGTCCCATGCCGCAGTGTGTAGTTCGTTAATATCAGCGGGGCTATATGAGCAATAGCCTTTCAAAGTAGATGTAATGCCTGGGTTGTGTACTTTTTGTATTTGAGTACCGTTTATTTCATAACGTATTTCAGAAAATAAATATGCGAGTCCGTTGTTAATAAATCTAGGACTGGACTTCATATCATCAGGTTTTTTCACTTCACCTTCCAAGTACATATAACTGGCACTTAGTAAAGTGTAACTATCCATGTTGCGAATTTCAAATCGTATTTCATCATTTTTACCTAGCGCAGTAGAGCTATACGGCAAAAATGATTGTACCTGTTGACTAATTTTTTTTTTTTTTTATTATGAAAAGGCTTTGACAACTTATGGACATTGGCCTACAGTTTTTTTTTTTCATGATTATTATTTGTACATTAATTAAAGTTATAAGTTGACAATCAATTGATTTAAACTATACAGGGTGATTTTTTTATCATAACCCACTCAATTACTTACAGAATAATAATAATTTAAAATTTTTTTTTTATTCTTATCTTTAGTTACACATTATTCTTGAATTATTAACTATGTAATACTTTTTAAGTTCATCCCTTATGCCTGGTAAGGGTGTCAACTTTGTTTTTTTAAATGGTAACACATATTTTGAATTTAATAAAATGTTTGAGTTTTTAATTTAATAACAAATGTCATTTGAATTTTTAATATAACTTTATTCGTTTATTAGATATAAACATTTAAAGTTTCAATTTTTTGAGTTAATATATAGGTATAATACACTAGGGATTAAAATTACAGGTAGCTAATTGGTTTTTTTATGATATTGCTATCACAGTCATGGATTGTTTATTATCAATAGATATACATTCTGTATTGTCAGTTAATGTATTTATAAACTCACAACAATGTGTCTTACTACCATTGATAATAACAATGCTTGTACCTGCTAATATCGATGTCATAAAAAACCACAGTTGTATTCCTTGCATATACAAATATAAGTGTCCATAATTGATGTTGGTCCTTTGTGTTTTCTTATTCGTTGACTAATTATTTTACACTGATCGACATAACTTTCCGTCACATCTAAACATAAATCGTCCATAATTTCAAAGAACGTTTAACGATTTTAAAAACGATAAATTACGTTTGCTAATAGACTTATTCGTTTTTTCTTTTAGCGGCGATTTTCTCGCGGATTTCTTTTTAGGTAAATATGATGTTGACTCTGTTCTGGGTGACTGTGAACTACGTATTGGCCGACGAACACTTGAATATATATTATTATTAAACTTAAGAGCCATGGTTCTATGTACGAATGTGAAGGCGGAGAGTTAAAGTTTCCCCTCTCAAATCAACTATTTTACCAGATTGAGACCGTAATGTAACTTCAGCGTTGTATACGGTGGTTGTGTTTAGCGGATAATAAACTAACGATTTAGGTACTTCTATAATTTTGTATCCTGCTGGGTCAGAAGGAAAAAATGTATGGATCGCTTTGCTTGATTGTCCATTATCATATGAACCAGTCGCTATATTACACTCGACATATATAGTATTAACTTGTAAAATATCAACAATGTTTGTTGAAACATGACGTATATTCGGTCCATAAACTTTTTCATTAAAACCTAATAACCGCGCAATATTATCGGTTACCGTAAAATCAATGGCGTTACTACACGTCAAAGCACTTTTCAATGTAACTTCGTCAGGTTCTAAAGAAAACGATTGAACGTATGGTTCCAACAGTTTTTTATTACGGCTTCTAACTGCGTCAATTCGTATGATCCCGTCGGTATTGTAATTTGTGTTGTTACACCCTTAGAGTCTTGAACTCCGATTTTATTACAGTCAGTTGTAATATTAGGTATTGAGTTATTAGTATACAAACTCAAAAGACAAATTTCGGGGCCCTCTTCAAATTCCAAAGGTGGGTAAAAACTACAACTCAATTGTGACGAATTGCCGCTCAATATTATTGTAGCCGATTTCATAATTTTCGACTTAGAAATTTTAGGCACAAATGACCGCAGTTTACCAATCTATCAGCCTGGTACCGTAAATAGTTTTAATTTACGGAACACCCGTTAAAATATTTCTGCAACTCTAGCGGTGGAGCCAAATCACCGTAACTATCGAAATAATGTACTGTATTGTTATTTTTTCTATAGCACGTCCAATGAGTACCTGGCTCGTTTTGTTTGCTTAAATTAATAACTGCACTCTCGTTTTTTAAAGGACGTACCGGCAATGTGTCTCTGCTAAAGACCCCTCTAAAATGAGGTATTTTCAATAAATTTGCATATTTTATAATTTGATAGTCATATAGAGCAGTCTTTGGCAGATTCGATATTAGTTTTTTGTCTTGGGCGGTGATAAAAATAAACCGGCACCGTTCTTATAAGGTTTAAGGTATAAACCTTTGCCGAGTTTTACTGTAGATTTTTTATCGCTTGCTTCTCTCGCGTCCATGATTGAACGTATAATACTACCCGCCCCGCCGGTTAGAGATCCTAACGCTGATAAAGCGGCAAAAATAGGAATAAGAGGAAGCGCTCCACCGGATTTCGGCACTGGTATTACACGTGGTGTGGGGGAAATGCTACCACGACGAGTTTTTTTGCGTGCAGCGGTCAACGCAATTTTTATTAATTTTGTAATATCTTTGCCGACTGTCTTTTTATGTTTCTTAATAGCCTTTTTCGCTTCAGAAACTATAGTTTTAAAACCACATCCCATTCCGATTTTACGTTTTGCTTTCATGGCGTTGGTAACTAGGTATGCTGCAGCCCGTTCTTTAAATCCAGAGTCCTTTGATTTAACAATGTCCCAAGCCCCGTGTTCTAATACTTCGTCTGCTTTATGTCTTTCTGCAGTTGAATGATGTTTATCGTAAAAAATGTCGTGAGATTTGCAGAGTTCGTCGAGTTTGTTTACCTCCACGTCGCCCCTTGCTAAACGTTCTTTTAACCGGGTGCCGGGACCACAGTAATTATAACCTTTGAGGTGTAATTCTATAGGTAATTTATTTAAGAGCGTATTGAATAGACCGACACCACTTTTAGACTTGTTGCGACCGTGACGTGACATCATTTGATCAGTTTACTGTCCTGATAAACTATTTATAGTGGAAAACATGAAGTTTATACAGCAAAGTGTTAAACTCCCTGTGATAAACGCAGATACTGAAAATAATGACAATAAACCTCCCCGACACGGCACTTTATTTCCAAACTCTATTAGAGCGATTATTGCGGGACCGTCGGGCTGTGGTAAAACTAATGTTTTATTTTCTTTACTAGTCGCTGAAAACGGTATAAAATTAAAAAATATTTACATATATTCAAAAACTCTAGACCAGCCAAAATATCAAATGCTTAAGGATATTATAGAAAGTATACCAGGAATGCAAATATTCATGTTTCATGAAAACGACACTGTAATTAGCCCTGAGGACGCATTGCCAAATTTAGTTTTTATATTCGACNCGAGGACGCATTGCCAAATTCAGTTTTTATATTCAATGATGTAATAACCGAATCTCAAGAAATTATAAGAACCTATTTTACTCGAGGCAGACATAATTACATTGACATATTTTATTTAACACAATCGTTTAGCTATGTAGGTAAACAATTGATACGGGATAACGCTAATATGCTTATTTTATTCAAACAAGACGAAACCAATATACGGCATATATATTTTAATAATTGTTCAGGGGACATGACACTTAACCAGTTTCGTGAATTTTGTCATTCATGTTGGAACGATAGTAAATTTAGTTTTGTAGTAATTAGTAAAGATCATCCGCGAAATGAAGGCAGGTATCGTAAATGTTTCGATACTTTCGCAATAATATAATGTCGTGTAATAACGGGATTTTTGTCAGTAATCGATTAACAATGGCCGGAGAATCTAATAACGAAATNCGGATTTTATCAGTAATCGATTAACAATGGACGGAGAATCTAATAACGAAATATTGAGACAATTAGCCGAGGCCAAGCAAAATTTTAAACGAAAATTCCAATCATTGCAAAACGATGATGCTGCTAATGAGGTTTACATGAAACGTACATTAAAACCCATTATTGAACCTTTAAACGAGCTTACAACACTTCAAAAAGAGAAAACATCGCATATTTTAAATTTTACTAATAAATTTGATAATCATAACGAGTATTTAAAATATAAACAAAACCATGATGGTAACAATTATAAAAACGATGAAAATAATTCTATAGTAACTGAGCTGCATAATCAAAGCTATAATGTTGAAGACACTAATTCTAGTGGATATTCTGAAAACCAAATATTTTCTATGATGGACTCGGTTGAGGCATGGCTAGTTTATCATGACGGGAACAAAGCGTATGCATCGAAAAAACACGGGGATTTAATAAAATTTGGTGATAAAATTGTTCAGTTTAATTATAAAACAGCTAGGCTGATCATAGAAAATAATAAATATCAATTAACCCCCGGTCTGATACAGTTAATATTTTCAAAACGGCCTAACGCATACGGTAAAAATGACTTGGATGTCTATAGAGACATTCTAGTTCATACTTCTGCGCACTTAACAACGAATAAATTAAAAATTAAGAAAACAAATGGCTACAAGTATAAAGAAGTTATAAGTAAATTGTTTGTCGAGGGCAGAGGTCTTGAGTTGTCATTGAATACATCGAATAACTATAAATATTGGAATAACGCAGACAAGCTCTGCGACCGTCTTAGATTACTATTGGCTTCGCAGGCAGCAGGCAATAATGCACATGGTAATGAAATTATATCAATTTATGAAGAATTATACGAGGCGGGCATAATTAAAAAAATACCAAATGTTTAAAAGACAAATTGCGGAAGAACTACATAGACCTAGACGAATACATTACGATAGACGTAGTGTTGTACTTAAAAGCCGTGACGATTTATTTCAGATCGATTTAGCTGAATTTATATCATATCATAGACAGAATAAAGGCTATAAATATATTTTGTTTGTAATTGATTGTTTTACAAAATATTCATGAGCAGTACCCCTAAAATCAAAAAGAGGAGCTGATATAGTGAAAGCAATAGAACCTATACTTGCAAAACGTAATATCGTTCACGTACAGAGCGATTTGGGTAAAGAATTTTATAACTCAAAATTTTCAACTCTTATGAAAAAATACAACATAAAACATTACTCAACGTATAGCACATTAAAAGCGTCAATTTGTGAACGATTAATTCGAACCATCAAGACCAAATTATATAGAGAGTTTACCGCTCAAGGATCACACAATTGGTTATCTATATTAAAAAAAGTTATGCAAGAGTACAACAACAGCGTGCATAGAACAATAAAGATGACTCCTACGTTTGCCGATAACAATCCTTCGGCAGTGGTTATACACAGTACTGTACATAAAACGAAACAAAAAATTAAATTTCGTAGAGGTGATTATGTAAGGGTTAGTTCGAACAAGGTCGTATTTGAAAAAGGCTATTTGAGTAATTGGTCTTTTGAAATATTTACTGTAGCAAAGGTATGCAACACTATACCAATAACCTATCTTCTCGAAGACTTTGAAAAAAATCCAATTAGAGGGTGTTTTTATGAACAAGAATTACAAAAAACCAAGTATCCGCATAATTATCTGATTGAAAAAATTGTACGTCGTAAAGGAGATAAAGTATTGGTTCGTTGGATGGGTTTTCCTTCAAAACATGATTCATGGATGAATAAAAATGAACTTGAAAAATAAATAATTTTAATATTATTGTAAGATATTAATGTAAAAATGTATAATATGCACTATTTATTGTATTTTTTACTCCATATAATAAAGTATCAATATATATTTAAATATGTATATTTATTTAACCTTAAGGTGACATATCCCCACTACCTATCTTTAATTAAACTGTGTGTTATTACTTTTTAAAATATAAAAAATCATCCGAGCAGCATAAAATCTGCAAAACTAATAAAATATTTTTAGTTTACTCGTAAACGTTAACAGTAATGGATGTTTTTGGTTCATCATTAGAAAGTAAAAGAATAAAAAAAATATGCATACTAAAGTCTAAATTAGCTGAGTTAGAAACAGATATTATAAAAATTACTGAAACGCTTAGTAATTATAGGAAAATAATTGAACAAATAAATGAAGAAATACACGGAGTAGAAGTTAAAATTGAAAATTTAAATACTAATTTTAACGCAATAGATTCAACTTTTAAGTTACGATATAGTCAGCTAGAAGAACAGATTAATAAAATTAAAGGTTTTGTAAAATACGAAGCCTATACTGACTCCAGTGTACGTTAATTCAAAAAATAAAACGCCCTAGAACAAGATCCGTATCCTCAACGTACTAGTTAACAAACTAAATAATGACTACAGCAATAGCAGATTTTGAGTGTATATTGGGATCGAATAACGAGTATCTTATAAAAGAACTATCTGTAGTGGATACTGACACTTATGCTACACAACACTGGATATTTAAACATACAACTCCGATAGATGAAAAAAGTCATAATGTTAACGCGTGGTTGAAAAAGCACCGACATTCAATGCAACCTCAGTACGGAGACGTAGAAATTGAAGAACTACCGAGAATTTTAAACTCGTTAAAATTTACAGACATATTTGTAAAAGGGTTACAAAAAAGAGACATATTACAACAGTATATGCCACACGTAAATGTCATTAACATGGAAGATATTGGCTGTCCTCGTATAACACAACTGACAACAAATAGTTCTTATCCATCATGTTTATTTCATATGAATTTAAATCCAACTTATTGTAGTTTTTATAAAATGTTTATGTTAAGACATTGGTATATTAATAATTCTTAGTACTTAAAATATTGTTATATTTCACTATAATTAAATAATGTATAATATTTTTAAAATAAAATTTATAAGTAACATATAACATGTTTGTTGTTTATTTACCCAAAAATTCATATATATGAATAATACTATTATACTGATTGAGGAATGTGCCATAGATTATTGTATGTAACGTTATACGTGTAAGAGGGTGATGTATTAGCTATGAACAGGCATAGTTCAATAAGCATAGTTTTTTATTACTATATGAGTCGATTAATCAATTATTTATATTTTAACCAAGGTATATTTTTTTTTATTTAATATAATTTCAACAATAAATTTTTATACATAATAATAATAATATTGTTTACTAATAAATGTTTGTAATCTGTTTATTATTTTTACATTAGTTTATAAGATGTATCTACAAATCTTAAGTTTCAATGCTGTCTTCATTCCTAAAAAATAACACTATTTAATATATATTTAATAATTATTAGCATTATTATGGTATACGTAATGTAGTTTATAATGACCGTAAGCGTAGGTAGTAATACGGTCTTCTGATGTAAACCGCTTATCATCTAAACGGTTTAATGTCATTTTCATAGTCTTAATGGTGTATATTTGGTGTTGAAATGATCTGATTGACACATTTTCTCTGTATGGTGTATAAGTCGGGTACTTTACAACGGGGCAATAAGGGTCCACGGCTCTCTCATGAATGTTGTTTACAACCATCATGCCATATGTAGCCGCTGTTGCATGAGCTTCGCTTACTGCAGGCTCCTCTTCAGCATACAAACAGCGTTTCAGGTCCTCGACTGTAAGATGATTTTTCACAACGTGACCACGTATCCCTTTCGCCTTAATTTTTTCTTTACCCTCCAAGTCAAAACCATAACATTTTGGTCTTAGACTAATAAACTCCAATATAGATTTCCCCGGCGCTTCATCACTCCACAAACCAGGCACCTTTTTGTTAGCGTTTGAATAACACGGGTGACTGCTCGGCAAACCTGAAGTGTCAAGTCTAGCCATTAGATCAGGATTTTTCTTTGCCACCGCGTAAAAGTCATCACCCACGATAAAGTACACTAATGAATCTAAACAATAAAATCATTTAATTTTTTCAATAAAAATATTAATTAATCTACCTGTGTTACCGTATAATAGTAGAGCACGGTCTTTGAAATATTTCTTCATTACGTTATAATGGAAATCGTATACGAGAGTTTTACTAATTTCTAAAATTGCGAAACCTACGTATACTGGTTTACAAAAATCGATAATTTTCTTTTCCAATACAAACGCTGATAAATTTTCACTGTACGTTGNTAATACAAACGCCGATAAATTTTCACTGTACGTTGTATAATGTTTGGGAACAAATGCATTTTACCACCCCATCGAGTTTTTTCAATTTTTTTTTTTTTAACGTGTATTTTTCAATGCTTTTTTCAAAATCGTTTGAAAAAATTGGTTCAAAAGTTATAGCTTTTTAAATTTGAAACGTCAAAAACTAAAAATAGCTCAAAAATTGTTTTTTTTTTTGTTAATTTTTAGGATTTTTTCTCATGATACTATTGTGAAACTATAATGACGTAATTATTACATAATATCCTCATTCTAAAAATCCTAAAACCAAAATTATCTTTAAAAATAAGGATTTTCCAAATTTTTTTTTCAAAACTACGCACATCAAATTTACGCAATACGAAATAAAAATAACAAGAAACTCAATTAATTCAATTTGAGCAAAAAAAAAAAAAAGACCACGATGTGGTGTTTTACATAGAATTGTTAATTCAATAAAATAAAAGTTTTTACTGTATTTTATGTACACCAATTAACACTTGTTGTAAACAAAAAAAAATACTATTACATTAGGCATTGTTGATATTAGTTAAGTTGTTGAGGTATCAAAATATACTTACTAATATCTTAATGTTATAATGTTGAGTTATACAAACCCATTTAAATATAAGTTGTGGTCACCTACGCCTGCCGGCTCCGGTGACCGATTCGAGCCCCTTCGGGACTCTCATGGGATGGGGGCTCACGCCCCCAAACCCCCAGAGGATAGAAGTCAAGCCCAAACCCAACCTATTTAAACCCATTCGACTGAAATTCTCAGTGACCCAACAAGTATAAAACCTTGATGTTAAAATGGTGATATAATATTGAAAAATTAAAATTTTAAAGAATAACCACAATTGTTAAATGACTAACACTTGTAAACGGAACAATGACGCACAAATCAACGCAACAAGCTTATCTCAACTGAATACCGCGATTACAGTCGTGTTGAGATTACCNACGATTACAGTCGTATTGAGATTACCATAAACAATGATATTATATAAAACATGGTATCATGTATTTCTGTTACCAACTGTCTAATATAAAAATGCATCATTATAATTTAAATAATGCAAAAAATTGTACATTTAGTTAGAATGGAAGCTGATACTGTATGTAAATTGTGTGTAAGCGATATCGATACAGCAATGGTTTGAAATGCGTCCCCGAAGTAAATTTTTTTTTAGCATCTTAAATTTACTATTCCGCGGTAACTACATCATCGAGAATACTTTTTATAATTAATTAATGAAAATTATCAAAAAAAAACAGCAGTATATAACAAAATTTTTATATGATTATTGAAATCTTTGAAAGCTCATAACTTTTAAACTAGACTTCGCCGACAAAAATTTTTTATATATTCTTAGTCGGTATGAAAAACTAAATTGATTTAAAAAAAAAAATTTGAAAAATCTCGATGGGGTGGTAAAATGCATTTAATACAATGTTTGAAATTATGCTTTCTAATTAATTTAGCCGCTCGTTTAGGATTATTGACCAATTCCATTTACGTTCTAAATTGTACACGTTCCATCATTTTACCTGTTAACAAACAATATCGTATTAAAATTATGTTTATATATTTTTATTTAATTTTAAAACTTACCAAAAACAGCGTTGTTCATTAATTTAAAAAAGTATTTTTCAAAATCATTTTTGGCTTTTTCTCTTATCTCCGTGTTGAGTTGTATATATTTTGATAGCCAGGCCGACTGCTTAAATTGTAACACCTTATGTACCTGTAATTTAATGACATGTAATTATTATATTTTTAAAAATATAATTTTATGAATTACCTTTTCTACTTTTAATCCGTTTGCCATAGCCTGTTTTAAATTTAGATAATGTATAACGTAGTTTTCTTTCTGATCGAAAGTAGACAACAGTTTTTTGACCCGTGAATTAGGCGGACATTTTCGTTCAGGTAGAAACGGCATTTTGTTGTGGACATCATGTAACTCTTTCAGGTACGACACCGTCACTTCAAGGGCCATTCCTATAGGAGAATCCGCAGGTAACTCTTCCACAGTCTTTAAAATTTTTGTTTCGTCGTCCACGTCTAACCACTTAAAGTCACCACATGGTATGTGTTGAGACATACTCCAACCATACAAATTATTGACATCCAAATATATAATTTCAAATTTTTGTTGTTTGATGTTATAAAGAGGCGTCTTTTCATTGTTGGCTGTGGCATGTTTCAACACCGAAGTTGTCATTCCTCCCTGTATTCCTCTCTCAATAAAAAGTTACTGTTCATAATCACTCATGAGATCTAGTGAAACACCCGTATGCAGCAACATAGCGTCAAAAGACAGACCGGGACTCGTAAAATAATATGCCGGTTCCAATTTATATTTTAGTAGACATAACTTGCGAAAATTTGTAAAAACATCTGCAAGTATTGTTACGTCAGTTTTCAGGAACAGATCAGAGTACTCACCGAGCGTTTTACAATTGAAATGTTGCCAAACGTTTTGTGCGTGTTTGTATTCGGCATCGTCTATATGCGTTTCTGACAGATCGTTATAAAAATCGGCTTTTGACGGCAATTGTTTTTCTTCGAGTACATCCCAGCTTGAGGTGTATGAATACGGGTACACGCCTTTACGGGTCACCAAATCAATGTCACCGTCCGATGAAAACGCTTTTGCGGTTTCTTGGAATAATTTTATGTCGGCGGCGCGCAAATTTTCAGCGAGAGCCGCTAAACTAGTACCCATAAAACGAAATGTATCGACGAACCTTAGCGAAAATTTGTTTGAAACAAATTTTGAAAAAGAAATATATTTTTCTTCTGTAGCGGGTATTACACTTATTCTACTAGTATCTCTTCCAAGGGCTTTAACTAAAAAGTGTCCGTCGTACGAGCTAAGATTATGGAAATATACGTTAACAAACTTGGGCGTTATTAATTTTAAATTGCAACTGTTACAAAGCGTTTTTCTAAAACTACCTGAAACGAATATAAATATATACATAAATTTTTCTTTTTATATTAATTACAATACATTTAACATAGTTATGTTTATGATTTACCTGTCAAATGATNCAGTTATGTTTATGATTTACCTGTCGAATGATCATGGTCTGCTACTTTATGATTTTTCTCTGTAAAACCACCCTTACACAAGTCACAACAGGTTTTCTTTATATGCTCTTCAGTTTCTTCGTGTGTCTTACAAATATCAACATTCGTCTTGAACAACTCTTCAATTTCAAAATCTGCATAAATTGCAAATGGATGTTCCTGTGTTTTGCCCCATGACTCGAACTTTAATTTAGTGCCCTCTTCAGACATTACAGGTAAAAACGGTTTGTTTTCGCCACAAATATTTTTATGTTCTTCTAGCGCCTCAACTCCACGTAGTTTATACTTTTTAGGTACATTATTAAAGCCCGTGAAACACCGTTTACAAAATATCCTTTTTGCCGTATTCTTTGTTATTTGTGATTGAACCAGTTTTCCAAAATCAGTAATATAAGTGTAATGGCTGTCACCCGCGGCGTTTGACACAATTAACAAATCGATATGGTCTTTACGTTCTTCAGCGCACATTTTCAGCGGATAAACTAAATACTGGGGTTTATTATGTAAATCTTTCAATTTTAGTCCGTAAACATTAACTGAAGTATGCGGATTATTTTTTTCGAAAATTTTTATGTCTGAAATCGGTGTTGGGAATGATAAACTGGAGAAATTATAAGAGTTATCTAGAGACTTATAGTTGTGACCTACAATATTCTTATTATCTCCTGTCACATTCTTTGCCAATATAGCCCATTTGAAACAATGTTGATCTATATTTTGGGGGTTTATTACAGCTTTTTTCATTTTAATGTCATGCGGCAAATCAATGTAAGAACTCCCGCCTAAAGGCTGATATTTGTATACACTCAGTAAAATACCGTCTATATTAGAAAACGAGAAATTACTACCTTTACCAGCATAGTTTTCCTGTTCTTCTAATAATTTTGTGTATGAAATATCCACAGCATGATCAATATCGTCCTCATTAATTATCTCAGCTGCCGACGTTTTAAATGGCCGATTNATTAATTATCTCGGCTGCCGACGTTTTAAATGACCGATTTTCGTACTTGGTTTCATTATTTGGTACAATATAAGTCGCCTCCAGTTTTAAGTTGAATTTTATCGAGCCCATTACTTTAAGACAGTCGCGTAATTTTTCAACTAAATAGCCTCTTGTTGTCGACAAAAACGATTGATATCCGGCTACGTTTTCAATATTCTTTTTGTAAAACCATAAAATTTGACTATTTAATGATTCACCCGTTTTATGAAAACCGCTCGTCGTAATGTCTTGTAACCGTTTCATCTTTACCCGTTTACATTTAATCGTATTGTCGCTGTTACATTGTTGGCGACGTTTAGGACTAATTGCACTGGGGCCCGCCTGCATTCTCTCCGCAACATTTACATTTTCTAAAAACAAATATTTATACATTTATTTTAGCATATAAATTTCTAATAATATATATTTCTTTAATTACCACTCGTTGACATAGCCCTCGAATCAGCATGATTTCCTATAGCAATATTATAATCCACACCATACTTTACGAGATCTAAAATAATACACTTATATTAACACTCCACTAATATATTTTCTCTTTTCATATTAGTATTTTACTGAATAATAATTGTAATACTTACGGTGTATCTTTTGAATATGGCGTACAAGTCCGCATTTGTCCGAAAAACTAGATGGACATAAATAACACTTAAATCGTAAACCATCATGGATTTTTCTATGTCTCATCAAACAGTTTTTGGCGACATACACTTTTTCACACTTGTCACAAGAAAAGATTTTTAAGACGTTTAACTGACACAGCACTATTAATTTTACTTCGCAAATCCGTCTTTTATGTGGAAAAATCGCATATTTTCATAAGGGGGTCAACAAATCATAGATCACATATCCCCGTAAACTAACTCATTCCTTCACCACTTAAACATTTTTAACTTATAATTATTTATTATTTACAATTTATTAAGTAATTTCTAAAAATTATTCATTCTTTCATAGCGCCTCTTCTTATGTACCCCCCATACTTGTGATATCTATTGTCATGAGAGAGTCCTCCACTCTTAACCTTTCATGGGAAGGGGGTCCTATGCCGTTCATCATATCCCCCGGCCGTTTACACCGCCCGTCCACCTAGGACAGGGTAAACCTACATCATGTGGTGGGTGAGGGGACTATGCCGTTCATCATATCCCCCCGGCCGTTTACACCGCCCATCCACATAGGACAGGGTAAACCCAAATCATGTGGGTGGGGGGACTATGCCTTAAACCATATCTCCTCGGCCGTTTACACAGGCCGTCCACCTAGGGAGAGGAAACGGCCGGGGCCGTTTTGGGGGGTATCCAGCTCATACTTTATAGATCTACTTAAGTGTATAACTAATAGTCTGGGTAAGCAATTATCAATAATGTTCGATCTGATGTTGTATAAAGTGTCACATAAATATAAAATTGTGAATGATTATTATAACATTATTCATTTAATAATGACTGTGAATTCTAGAACTTTAATTATATTATTGTAGTTATTCGTAAAAGTTAAGTGTACAGCCCATTCCAACACGTCACCGTGTCTCAATCTAAGTGGGAACCCAATATTATTATGGGTTATAATATTACAAAGATTTTAATATTTGTATTAAAAATGCCCTTTAAAATGGCTTTGAAATGAATATTAGGATTATTTTTTACTTCTTTTTCTTGTAAAAATTTATTAACTTTATTAATATTATAGTAAATTACAAAAAAAATAAGCTTGTTTTACCATTTTAACAAGCAACGTTTTTTTAAATTATTTTAAATATATAAGGATTTAAAAGTTATTTAATTGTCTTACCTTTTTTAATTTCAATTATTGGATTTAAGTTTGAGTTAGCAATACAAATATGAATTAAAACGAGCGATCTTGGTAAATTTTTTAATGACAAAGTGTTAAACATATGACTTAATTTGATTATTCCAGATGTTGGATCTATTACTCCTTATTAATAAAAATGTACTATTTGGATTATGCATAATTTAAATCATTTTGTTTAAAATATATGTTAAAAAAATATTTTTTTACACACCCCGGCCAGAACAGCAGTTTTTTAAATAATGTTAAAGGTTATTTTAATGGTGATCATTTACTCAACAGGTTATTCGTATCTAATCAAATCAAAAGTCAAATCAGAAGATTGTTTTAAATTTGTTTTTGTTAAATGTTTTAGCTTCGATGCGAAGCTGAGAAGGTATTTTAAATTTATTATTATTAGGTATATTTGTTTTTTTACTATTTTGCCTCTTACTTAGAGGCGAATGTGCTTTAAGATTACCGGTTATTTTGTTTTAGAGTATATTTTTGTAGTTGAACCCTAAATACGTCTGTTACCACTTATTAAAAAAATTGCAATTACACACTCTTAGATGGATAACTTACTTCGATTATTTATATTTATGAAAATATAATTCCCTGTTAAAAAAAGGTACTGTTTAGATTATGCATAGTATATTCATGAAAATCAAATAGTGATTTATCTCACTATCGTAAATTTTGGAGATAATGGAATTAAACATAATGGAGTTGAAGCCCCTCAATACGTCTGTTGCTACTTAGAAAAAAAATTGTACCCAAAAATTTTTATATCATTAAAATAATTTGAAATTTACCGATTATAGACAAATTTTTTTTAATTGTAATATTATTTTTTTTTAACTTTCATTTGGTACAAGTTAGGAGGATACAGTTATTCTAGATCATTATCATAAATTAAAAAAAAAAATTTCTAAAAATTTTAAAGTTCTATGACTTTGGTAGCAGATTATTTAAAAAAAACAAGTTCTAGGATCATTTGTTTTTAACTTACAGTACATTGAATTAGTTTTATTTAAATATATAATAGAAATTGTTAGGAATGTTGGTACCATTTCAATAATTATATTGAAAACAATTTTCCTATCACATGCATTTAATATCCATATTTATTCAATAATTAATTGGGTTTNCTGAAAACAATTTTCCTATAACATGCATTTAATATTCATATTTATACAATAATTAATTGGGTTTTCTAGAAAAAGTATCTAGATAATAATTTTAGTCGTCTATAGTATTAAATCAATTTTATTTGAAATTGTGAAACAAATAAAAAATTGCCGTTTTCAACGATTGTAATTTCTATTTTA